TTACTAGTAAGTAAACTATTGGCAAATAAATAAATGAGAGAGGTAATGAAAAATGGAAAACCAGGAGAGTTTTATTCTGTTGTTTTTTTTTTTCATTGCTAATTCAAGTATTTTGTCAGCCGTATCTGTAAAACACAGCTAAAGGTGGAGATGTTAAAATTCCTCTTATTCAGAAAGCTGAAACTCTTACACATAATTTTTGTCATTGAATTTTGCATGAAGGAAGGACATATACAAAATGCCTATGGCATTTTGCAGGTGTTTTGGGCCATGGAATTCCATATCATGTGAACTTTAACTTGCCTCATTTGCCTCACTCCTCCAAGTCCTAGCTTTTCAGTTAATTAGTACAGAAGTAGCATTGCTGGACAGCATTTTGTAGTAGAGAAGAAATAGAGAAGCAGATTATGTTATTTTCATAACGAGGTTTTCATTTCTGAACAAGTGCTCAAATGCCTCATACCAATTCTCTGCATCAATATGGATTTCAGTCTAAATTATTATTTTCAGAATAGGGGAAAGACTATTTGGGTTTCCAGATTCAATAACAACTTGTCACAGAAATCATATTTCTTTGCAGAATCAGAAAACTTTGAAATAATTAATTTGCATTTTGTTTACTGTAATACTTTTATGCACTCTGGTGTCATACATTTGGAGGTATTTCGTTTCTTTATTCATGAACAGAACTCATCATAAAACAATTATATAAGCATTTATGTTTCAGTAATTTGCCAGTTACTAGAGAAGCTTAATTTCTCAAAGGTATTGAGAGCCACGTGAATCAGCTGGAAAGCTGGAAGTTTGAATAGCAGCTGGGTGGTGCCCATCACCCTTTGGCTCCCTATGGTTTCTTTAAACTTTTCTTTTCTGACAAGGCATGGATCCAGATCCATTCTGAGGTCTTGATTCTCTTCTCATCATGTTTACACAAAGGTCCTGTTCCCATGTAACCGAGATTGAACGCTAGAGATCTTCTGGTACAGCAGCTTGGTCAATCCAGCAGATTAGACAAAACCAGAAATGTCCCCGGATTCCAAGACTAAGTGAAATGGAAAGAGCTAAATTTATGCTGGAAAACTCAAAACCATGTTTTTTGTGGATAGAAACAATGCAGATCATGAGGTCTGATTGTTTGTTGTGTGCATTGCCTGTTTCTGAGCATTGTCATTTCTGATGTCGTTTCAAGTGTGCTGTCAATCCTATTATTCGTCTGTTAAGATGTGCTGCAAATACTATAGATACATTCTGAATCATGGACTGAACCCACTTGGAAATTCTGCCTGCCTTTGGACAAGTCATTTGGGAAGATTTCACTACACTCTGAAACATGGAAGCTGAAGCTCAGAGAGAAAAACTACTGGAAGTCTAAATGGCATATAAACCCATTTATTATAAGTTGACTCTATAACTTACTGAATGAGGCCTCAGTTTCTTATATTTCTCTAAATTTTAAATGGAATACAAAGATTTTGATTTGATAAAACACTATTGTTTAAGATTTAAGGCATTACAATGCCATAAGGCTTACTCACTGTGGGTCACACCTAAAGAAAGTAATACTAGAAACTTTCCAGTAATGAATGTTAATATGTGAAAACGCTATTTGTAGTAAAACCTTTCATCTGTTCAGTCATGCATAGTGTAACTATAATCATTCTTGTTCAAGTGAAATAACACTTCTGCTTTCAGAAAAAAAAGTTCTTACTTTCTTTCTCAGAGAATTTTATGGTGATTTTTATTATTAAATCCAGACCAATTTTACCTAATGAGCATAACAAAAAAGCTGTAGGAAATACCATTAATCTTTAAACACTTTTGTTAGTGTTCCCTCATAAACTGAAATATTATAATCGAGCAGAAGAAAAGCCAATTGTTAAGTCATTTTTGTAAATCCAAATGGTAAGCAATTAATGATAAATTTTAAAATCCAAAATAATAAACCCACTGGACACTGACAAATTATTTTTGGGAGGGTAAATAACACTATATGTGTTAATGATGATAAAGAATCTGAAATAAAGAGAAGATATTGTTAGAAAAAATATGATAGCCGTAAAATATGACTTAATGAAAATAGTGAAAACTTTGAGATACAAATTTGAAACTATATATGCATTATATTATCTGTAATGTATATTTTGAAACCAAGGCTCCTTTCATAAAGAAAGGCAGACTTGCTGTGTTCATCTGCTCATATAAAGAGATGGAGGCTATTCACATGGAAGCTATTCTCAAGAGTATAACAAGGATGACATTATTTGTAAGAGGAACAAAAAACAAAGTATCATGACCAAACTTTTTATTTTCTGCACTGAAATCAATGAAAGGAAAACATTTCTGAGTTTCATAGCAGTATGACTCGGGCCTGAAAATGTCACAGAATAAACAAACACTAACTGTGTTTTTGGAGTCACCATCACTCAGAAAGACGAACATATTTATAGCAGTTAAATATACCTGTATGTATGTTAGAAAACTCTGAATAATCTGTTCTTAGGTACACTATATATGCATCACTATACACATAAAAGCACAAATATGGTGTTCTTGCCAAGGCTGAAGTCTAAAGAAGATCATCTTTAGTGACACTAAGGTGAATAATTCTGACAAGGTTGCAGTATAGACAGTAGAATTCAAATCAGTGTAATATTACTTTCTAAACAATCAACCTGGTAATTGGGTATTGATTATCAAGGCCAGAGTCCTTCACGGCCTTGTCTGCTTAAAATGGACATGAAATGTGACACATGAAACGACTGAAGGTCTTGCCATGTTGTGACAACTGCTAGCAACATACCGAAAATTCTTCCTGAAACTTTAGGTTGTTGTTTGTACAAAGCTCTTCAACATGCTGTAGGAAGGATTTCTTGCTTATTGGCCTGAAAGTAATGACAGAAGATTTAGAAACCCATAGAGAATGTCTTTGTCCTTCTTTTTATTAACTGCAATTTATTAATAAACAAAGTTTTTCAGTTCAATAGAAACTGATACTTACGGGCAGAAAATTATGAATTGCTTACAGCGTGCTTATTTGATTTCCTTTTGGTCACTTAAAATAGAAACACTTTTTCTCCTTGTTGTTTCCCCTCACAAAATTTTTTATGTTGCTAATGTTAACAGTCCTGTAGCATATGATTGTTTTCGTAGGTAACAGCATTTCAAAGTGAAGTTTTGACATTAAAGTAAATTTGTAAAGTTATCATTGCATTCTAAAGTACATAAGTCTTTGTTGCACAGAAAACATTTTATACATTGCAAGGTTTTAGACTTATAAAATATTGCAATGACCTCATTCTCATAATGACATGGTTTTTAAATCGTGAGGAGTTTAAATATCCCTGTATTACTTCCCAAGCTAAAACACAGACATGCAGGCTTCACCCCAGAGAGAGAGAACGCATTTCTCCAGTTACCATGCAATTAGTCATGCCTTTATGATTTATACGCAGCTTGGAGGTTTTTTCTAATAAACATAGAAGAGGGAACCACACATTGAGACTCACCAATGAACACAACATAAAAATCTTTAATAAACTTACTTGATGGATTTTCTATAACTAAGTAATCTGCAACAGAGATTTTTGTTAAATGTAGCAAGTTCAGTTAACCAATATTGTACATGTTAATAGGGTCTAGATTAAATACCAAGCAACTAAAGGACCAGATGTATTTCTCTTATGGATTCAAATTCAGATATCTTGGCTGATTGTCTTGCTTAGTTTTTATCTCAGGTATTGGCAGATATCAATAAGGTAGTTGTAGTTTCTATCATTCTCTTCACATCATTTTACAGTACTCTGGGCTCATATGGACTTGGGAAATCCATGCTTGCAGCACAACATTTTTTATACATTGACAGGCTTCATTTTACACTACGCACCAAATATCATTCTTCTAAGGGCCATTTCAGAGCATAAGGATACAATTAATGTGACTGAACACAGACACATATTTCTGAGTTAGTCACTCTAGACTTCTTTTATAATCAATGAAGAGAAATAGGTATGATTTAATCTCATTTTAAGCAGGTATCTAAAATAAGGGACAGATGAAGCATACTATTGGTGTGCCTCTACAGAAACCACAGCTATGGTTGTTTTTCTAAAGATTTTTAAAAATAGTGTTCTGGTTTCATGTTAATTTTTTACATGTTCACTGCTGTTTCCATGTGTGCCAATTTTAAAAACTGTTATACATATTAAATCTTTAACTTGATTCCACAGTAGGTTTCATGAAGATGTTACATGAGCATCTATACTCAGAAGACTTTTAGATGGTCTTGATTGACAAAGCTTGTCTAAAGCCAAAAAAGTTTGAAATAATAGTTTAAAAGATAATGGGCCCCCTCAAAAGAGCTTTAAGTACACCTTTTATGTGTTTGTCTCTACAAAAACCATACATTCTTACTGACAAATATTACAAAAAGTATTCTATAATACAAATACAAATGTCTACTGTACTGCTGTCATAATTTTAAGAGAAAAGAAAAAATTGCTTCAAAAAGAAGTTGGTTTATGAACTTATTCTGAATTATTTAAAATTTAATTTAGATAATAAAATGAGATTAATACAATTGATGAACCATAAGAGTAATACAGTTGTTGAATCACTCATTATTAAGCATCAGAGAAGTCAATTTCAAAGCTACTAAAGATGCCTTTGTGATACATACTTTGTTAGAACAGTTATCTTCAAATAAAGCAAATGGTTATGAAAGCTTCACTGGGTCAGTCTCACTGGAGTTAAAAGTGTAAGTATTCACATAAAAAGTCTCTAACCCCAAGTGTTTACAGGACAATTGAAGGACAGCTTCAGATTGAAAAAGACAGCAGAGCATGCAACTCTATGAATGTTAAGACATATAGTTTGTTCTTATTATATCACTTATGTTGTTTGCATTATGTGGCAGATTGAACTACTTTCTAGTAATATTGGCAACATTACAGAATTACAGTTTTCTAATGAAAAAGTATTCTTAATAGCTGTGCCAATGTACTGCACACAAATATATTTGTCTTTGAGTAGAACATAAACTTTTTTAGCTTTTTTTCTGGATAAAATTATAATCAGTCTTTGCAAAGAAATTACCCTTGCTTTTCCTTTGAATTCACCTATCTTCACCACAGAACAATGGAAAAAAAATCATGTCCTAGTTGATATTGCACTAATTTTTCAAATATTGATAGCTCTCCTCTCAAATTCATAGCAAGTAGTGGCTTACTGCACCTACTTTGCAGTAAGAAAATACAGTTTGGTCATTAGGGAATAAACATTACTTCTATGCTGTATATAAGCAACCTAGATATGTCATTAGTGTTTCAGTGCTGAAGGTACGTGGGTCCAGCAGCAAAGACCATAGACGACAGGCAGCACCATCGACACCACCTTACCCAACAATAATTCCTTTTTTTTACTTGCACTCGAAACAGGGAAGTAAAGCACTGAAATAGTTTAGGAAATTAGTGTTGCATGTGTTGTTTTCTAGTCAATTTTTAATATTAACAACAGGCTATTTTTTAAAGGCATAATAATATATCATCTTTCACAAGCAGTATACCTTTTTTTAAGAAGCAAGACATCTACAGATTGACACTTTAACCTGTCTGTGGGCATTTAAGTGAAGAACTTGATTTTTAAAACTTTTGTAAGTAGCAAGTACACATAGCTGTGGCTTGGGAGCTCAGAAAATAAGATTATTTACTTAAATTCTTATATAAAAATTCATGTCTTTCTTGACTAACTATGGTAAAGATCTTGGCCTTGTTGTGTAAGGATCTTCAGAAAGGATGAATTTTGTGTTCTCTTTAAAAACTTCCACCTATGCTCAGTTTCAGCATGCTTGGGCTTAAAAAATTAGCATATTTCCATGTCTCTTGATTTAGAATATGTAATAATAATCTTACAGTGTTTCAGCAATGAACAAATACTCATCTACCTATAATCTTATCCTCCACATTTCCCAGCCTTTCTTATAAAACATAAAAATATAAATATCATTAGATCTTCATGAGCAAAATTTAGAATCACACCACAAAGTTGAAAATTTCCCTATTTCAGCTGGACCATTTCAGATTCCCACTTGTCGGACTTTGAAACTAGGAAAGAAAAACATTCTCTCAGATAAAGAATGCTTTATTGCCTTAAATCTGATTTTCTTTTAAAACAGTGTATTGTTTCATGTGTGGGGTTTTTTTGAAGTCTATCAAAAATCTGAATCCCACTCAGATTACTTATGATAGAGCTAGAAAGAAGGCATTTATTTGTGTTGGCAGTGGTAACTGAAGACCATATTGCCACACAGACTCTGCTTTCTCTCTGGGTCAGTCATCTGAAATCCACAGGGAACTAAAACTTCGTCCAAATAGAAAACAACAGAAATGACTATGTGGGCAAAAGGCTTAACTCATAAGCACCACTGACACTTCCTAGGACCAAGGGAGGAACTAATTTTTAACAAGTTAATTGAAAGCAATATGGAGCTTAACCCTTCCTAAATATTAAAGGCCTAAGGAAAGAGAACACATGGTCATTTCTTCCATTGTACCAGGACACATACATTCATAAACTTTGTACTCCTGGAATACAAACTTCAGGAAGTCTATTTTTGATAGCTGATTACTAGAGGAAACTTGTTTAAGAAAAAGGCAAGGCAGAAGCCATCCCTATCCCCACTCAAAGGAAGATAGGTCTGTCTACAGAAAGAAACAGGCTGGTCTATGGAAAGTAATGAGTGTGCAAAATTGTTACCTCAAATACAGACACCTACCAGATGTATAGCATATAGGGAGGGTGAGATCAGATAATCATTTTATATACAATATTTTTCAAAAGGATTTCTAATTACCTGGTATTTGCAATGGCTACAATGTCTGTAATGCACAAAAATTTCTTCTGAGTCTGTGCCCCATTTGTTTGACAAGCTGTCTCACACAAAGTGAAACAAAAGCCTCAAAGGATCAACCACAAGATGCAACTTCTCAAGGAAAGACTTTAGGAAACAGGGATCTGCACAGCTTTATCTTGCTGCAGAAACCACTGCAAAAGGAGAGTGACAAGTAGATTGTCTCCTAGGTGAGCACCTGTAACAGGGAAGAGTTACTTGCCTCTCACCAAACCTGGCGCACCCTGAAAATTTAGTGACAGAATCTATTCATAGAAGTTTAGTTTCTGCTTTGAAAAGTGACTTGGTAAACCCTATGTACATGTTTTAAAAGGTAAGTAATGAGAGCACCCAGCATATGTATATTCAGTGTGCTTAATGAAACAACCTTTAATCTAATTTAGATTGATGGGCTGTATATGTTTTAAACAAGGTTGTTTTTTTCTGTTATTGCCTGTCTCACACCACCTCCACCATCATGGAGAGCATCATATGTCCCAAACACTCATTTTGGATTCATAAAGGAGATCTCATTTTCCACTGAATTCAGTAGGACTTAATTCCCTGCATGTCCTCTGAAACTACATCCAATTAATTAGTTGCCTAACAAAGACTTGTTGAGAGACAATGTATATGTACTTGCTAGTATTAGTAATATTAGACACTGAAGTTTTTCAAGTAAATTTTTTTATGATGGCCATTATGTTAAAAGATTACTAGTGGTGACTGGGATTTTCCATTAATTTCATGGTCTGAAAAAAAATGTTACCCCCTAAAAAGCTTCAAAATTGTCAAAATAGGATACTTAGCACTTTTAATTTTTTTCTAGTCAAACTGACTTTTTTAATGCAAAATATTTAATATGAAAAAATTTATAAAAATGTTTGAAATATAATACTTTGATTAACCTATACTGAACATTTGCTAAGCTTCAAGCTGTCAAATTTTTGATCTAGGAATAATAAAAAATATTTCCAGTCATATTCATACAGAACGGAAAAACCTTTTTCTACTCCTTTTCATTTCTTGTGTGATACCAGCTGCACAAATTTTCTGACAAGAGCCAAGATCATAGGCCACAATTCACTAAGTATGAGAGACTGTCTAAAGAGACAATATATAAGAGATGGTCAAGAAAGATCTTGGGGAGCAGGCTAGAGTATTTTGATTCTGTGGATGAATGGTGTCAGCTGCAAGTGCATGCCTTTATTGATTTATAGTCACTACCATGATAGATAATATACTGTCTGAGAAATGAAAAAACATGTGGTTTCAAAAACATCCCCTTCAAATGAGCACTGAATAAGGTAATAAGTAGGTAGAAAAAAAAAAAATCTATGCTATGTTCTTTTATCACCTAAGAGTTTCACACAAACTCCCCATCACTTTTTCAGAGTAGAAAGCTGGATAAGATTTCAGCTGATTTACTGTTATCCAAGAAATACAAACATGCCAGTCTGGCAAGAGAATCTGCCCATCTATGCTTTCCTCATACATTTACAGAATACCACAAACTGAAACACAGTAAGCTTTGAAACACAGCTGAGATACCTGCCTAAATGCAGTCAGTGTATAGCAGTAGGTTGTGCAGATGCAGTGATGCCCGTTCCAAACGCATGGGAAATTTGTAAAGGTTACACTGTAGTCATCAACATGTAATACAATAATTTAACATGCTAACATGTCACTGCTTTAACAACAAATAATGAAATTATAGGGTCAACACAAGAACTGGGACTGGGATTGACTTCAGCATGGCTGTTCCCCAAAGGTAACAAGTACTAAAGCTCTTTCATGATGCAACTGTGGAAGTCTGAAAACAGGTAGCAAAAATATTTTAGATATTAGGTTTTGCAGTAAACTGCCTTGGCACATGCTGCCATGCTTCTGCCAGCTCCTTGATATAACTCGTCATTACGAGGAAGGACACCTAAATTGTCTCTTTTGGTCACTGGCATTACCAGAACAGAATATTACAGATATTGAAACACTCTTTGAAGCTTAAAAAAGAAAAAAGTCAAAATAAACTAAAAAAATTTGATCAGGTAAAGGATATCCTACCCCTCATTACTATGTGTATGTTATGTAGTAGGGTTCCACAGTACATTTTCTGTCTTCCAGTTGAAAAGAGGTCCTGAATTCTATCCTGAGGAATTCTCAGTTAGTGCCTGAACTTCAAACTTCAACAGTTTGTCTTAATGTTCAACAAAAGACGTGAGCAAGGAGGCCACTGTAGCTTCAGTACCACTACTGTTTGAAAAGTAACAATCAAAAATTTTAACAGCTACTTCATGTACCTCACAATGACAGAAATAGAGAGTCTTTGCTTTTGACCATTAAAGAAGGGATGGAAGGAGGAAAGAGAAAAGTACAGATGGAACAACATAACAAATTGCAAACCAAGATGTGAATCTCACTCATTAAAATAAGGGTGATGTAACTAAAACTGCTGAAACACAGTTCAGTAAAGGCCTTGCTGTGTCTAAACCACATAGTGAAGTGTACATAAGTATGAAACAATATAGTTTGCAATTACCCTGAAGAGTTTGAGACTCTGCAAGTCTAAACTACACATAATTTAGACAGAAGAGTGACAGAATAGTATCTGAAAACTGATAAAACATTTGACTGGGGGGATATATTGCTGAGATGGTAGGGGTATAGTATGAAACTCCTGCAGTATGAGTACAAAAGGCAGTTGAGAAAAAAAAAGAATTTATCTTGAGTACATACATTCTAACTGCCAAAAAAAGTAACATCATGTTTCTTATGTCGCATTTGCACTACCTTTTTTTCAAGGATAGGTTGTATTTCTCAGGGTTAAATTGCCATAATGTGTTATAGTTTCCACGTAAAATAGTTGTGGAACTGTTATAACTTAAAGTTAGGTACTAAAAATAGACATGATTTCATGATGACAAATACAATTTTTGTCATTATTATGTCTGCAAAGATTGACATTTCATTTTGATTAACTATATTGCTTAATATAGTACAGTAACACACAGGTTGAGAGAATAGAATAGAAAACACACCATGTTGCTTCAATAATACAAAAACTTACTGGATGACAAATATCTCCTTGCGTCTAAAGAAAAACGAAGAGTATCTGGAAGTAAAATCCATTAACACTTTAGTATATAAGCAAAATTAATACTATTTTTATTCAGCTAACAGTTTGGAAAAAAGGTAATTTTGAAGATCCATCAAGACCATTTATATGAGTCACAGTTATCACAGTGCATTGGCTATGGTTCTGTCTTCAGAGGATGCTTTCCACTGTTTCGAGCAGGTACTAAACAATGTTATCTGCACAACAAGTGTCCCACATACAACATACCACATCCGTTACATCAGTGATTTCCAGATGATTCACAGTCTGTTTTCTCATCTGTCACAAGCAGCCATTCTTGTGTGCTCTACTTTGAACAGGCTTGTACATGCAATCAACTTACTCTGTACCACACACGTAGACATGTACAAAAAGCCCAGGTCAACAGCTAACAACCTTTCATCTTCCAGCTATTCCTAACCTGCAACAATAGGATGTTTGACTTGTAGGGCAAGACTATTTTAGGCTTCTCATCTTTAAGACTGCCTACCACAGTGTTTCATCTGTGACACAGCAGGGAAAATACTGGCAGGTGAGGAATGTTTGCCAAATATTTCTAACTCAGTTGGATGTCCCATAATATTGAGAATAAGAGTTATATTTATTTGGTGAATAATATCCATATTTCTGGCAGTCAAAAAGAGTGGTTTTCCTTTGATAAATATCTGTGATAAGATTCCTTGTCAGATAGAAAATATGAATAGCCTGTAATTGCTGCATGCACCTTAAAGGAGTAGATGTTAGTATAGCCAGTGTGCTGAGCTCCACAGAAACCCAGATGTTATGCAAATGCCTTGGTTAAAAAAAAAAGTTTTCTGAATGTCAATTAAACAATAACAGATTTGTTAATGAATTAGTTGATTTGTTCTCAAATTAGTTGACAGGGATTTCTGGGAGTTTGGCTCTTTCAAAATACTTATGTAAGTTTGCAGCCTACAGAAACACTGGGCCATTAAAACCTCGGAAATTCTGCATGTTTAAAAATATATAACCCTTTTTTGGCTAACACAATTAAACAGTGATTTGCACTTAGATCTTTACCTTGTTGTAAAAAGAGCTTAAGATTAAGTGATTTTCTAAAAGCTAGTGAGAAGTGTCTTGAGGATGGAGGTCATTCTTTGAAAAAGGATCTCAGTGACCTGTGTAAGTAAGAACAGCACAAACACTTCCAAACAAGCAAAGGTCAGAAAGGGGTCATGGCTACAGATCCTTTGGGCTACTGTTTTGCCTAAGGAGTATGCTTACCGCGTAAATCTCTCATCCTTCAGCTCCAGGTCTGCCACTGTGATCAGCTGATCCAGTTTGAATTTAGTGTCAATAATTTCAGCATCTCGTGGGGAGTATGTGCCTCCCTCTTTTTGCTTCTGCCGAATTCTAAACAGAAAATAAAGTGAAAAATAAACATACAAAAGACTTAAGAACATATATATCAATACTTTGATTTGACAGGCTGAAACTGAAAAATGGTTGCCGGGAATCCTTCCTTGGCCTTTATTCTCTCCCTTCCAATGGTTTAATTTAGTGGACAAATGTAACTGCAGTTACGTTGTCTAAAATTCAGAAAAAATAATCTAGCTGCTATATTCTTTTAGTTTTCCTACATAAATTCTTTGGTAATGCCTGAATAATGCAGCTGAGGGAGAACAGAACTGATGAACGAGGAAACTAACATTGTTTGTGCAGTGCCCAGCCTGCTTCTTTACATGGAGATTTTGTTCACAATTTGAATTAGAACTCAATTTCTCTTTCATGTGTGCTACTTCAATGTATTGCAGTGATAAATTTATTAGCAAGACAGAAAATAGAATTTAGAGTATTTACTTCATATTCAGCTATAAATAGTGTTAGTCATCACGATAACTTCAACCAGCTGACACTGATCTGTCAATAGAGAAGTGACTTCAGAAATTTAAGGTAGGCTACTCTGATTTGCCCTATGGACAAAATGGGTTTTCTTCATCTACGGAAGTTATCCTCTCTAGTCTTTGTGTGTACCTCCCTAAGTTTCTACATAAAAGACAAAAAAACCCAATCAAAACCCAACACATTTTGAAATGACAGAATCGTTCTAAGACCATTTCAACTCTTCTTTAAAACATTTTTGAGTGTTTTCAAACATACTATAGCAAGGATACATAAATCTCACCTTGCAAAAGCATACACTGCAGCCACCAAAAGAACAACCGAAAGTACACACAGAGTAACAGCAAGGATAACTTCTACAGATCTTCCAGTTAGTCCTTCACCTGCAACAGAAAGTGGAAAGCTGGTATTTCATAGATTCTTTAGAATTTTTACATTTCTGACAGTGGGAAATAAGGAAATGATGAAAGACAGACTCCTTTTGTCTCTGTGCAACTGTTTTGTGGTGACTGAAGAGCTGATTCAGAAAGAAAAATATAACAAAACCAGAAACAATTTATGTAGAGGTTCCCGAGCATTGCTGATCTGTGTAACGCGTAACGTTAATATACATGGCTAGAGCCGTATGTGCAGCCATCCCTTGGTGCTTCTCAGTTTTACCTGCTCAACAGGTTAAGGTAAGTCTACACTGCAGAAATATCAGTCTGAACCTTGGCCTGAGCTAAGCTCCTGCAGTCTCTGTGCAGCCAAGAAAAGAGGAGGACTACTCAGACTCCTCAAGTGGAAAAGGCAGAGCACAACACTAAAGCTATGAGGCTTGCTGCCACTCAAAAGCACAAAAAAAAGATACTATTTTTAGAGATATTCTAAGGGTGCTGAAAGAACCCAACTAGTGACCAGATCTGAACTTCCTGGATTAATCTGCCTCACTGACAATTAACTCATGCTCCTTGTTTATGTGAATTGGTGATACTGTCAGGAATAACCACTAGTAGGTCAAAAGTAATCATAAAGGCCTCTGTGATAATAATCAGTCCTTCCAGGTGAGAATGAAAACTCATTCAGAAACTGATAAACTATTTAGATTAGAAGTTTCTAGGCCTCTTTTTGAACCTCTTTAGTGCTATATTTCTGAGACTCATTTCCCACCCTTCCTGGTAATCCAGTACCTATCTAAAAAAACCTCACCCTCTTTTTCCCTTGGGCAACAGTGAAAATAAGTAAAGCAAGGGAATACTACTGCTGATATTGTTCACCTGTGTTGACATTCACCTTCATTGCTGATCCACTGTAGAAAACCTAGCTCCTGTTTAGCCTCAAGGAAGGGGAGAAAATGTACTGCTTCCTGCCATTTGAAACCGAGATTTCCCACTCAAAGGACAACATCCTCCCACAGACTCATGGGAAACACTGTAGTCCTGGCTTTGTTTCTCTCAAAAGGCTCTGTTTTGGGATTACAGAGTGTATTGCAGATGATCTGGACTGATGTCCATAGGAGAACATCATTCCAATTCAAAACGATCCTGATTTATCTGAAGAAATGATCTTAAAACAGTAGGATGCAATTTTGTAAGATCAAGTGCATGGTTCTACATGTAGGTAGAAATAATCAGCTACAATAATACAGCACAATAAACAGTAGGTTAGATAGAAATTTATCGAAAGAAAGAATGAGATTACTGTAGACCAAAACAGACATGAATAAGCAATATCATGTCTGACAGGCAACAGAATTCAGTATAGTTTACAAAACGCCTGAAATAATTCTTCCACTGCATTAACAAAGTTTTAGATGCAACACTGGACACTACAAGATAAGAAAAATTTCACCCAGGGAAAGACAAAAGAAGAGAAAAGCAAATATATACAAAAATGTTTCAGTGAGAAAATGAATGAAAATATCTGTGCCACTCACTTATTACTATGATAATGCAAAAATGTTAGCAATGTGGAAGAAGGACAGAAGAATATACAGAGGAACCTCTACAATGGTTCTATCTATTTTGCAGTGAACAGTGAAGTCTGTGTTACAGTTAACATCAGTCCAAACAATACCAATGTTATTAACCAAAACAGTGCTAGCAGAATTGTGCCACCAAGAATAAAACCCCCACATTTTTTCCCACTTCTTTGCAACAGGGAAGGCCTACACTTTTCTGTGTAGACATGTCTGTAGAGATGATTATGAGCAAGGGAAAGGAGACAAAACAGAAAATATCACATTGTATAATTCTGAGGTGCTGCACTCAATGCATGATGATAACAAAGTGTAATAGTAGAATATATTAAGGTCAGTTTCTATGCAACAGGCAGTGTCAGGAAACCCCATTCTGATTATTTCTTATCTCATCAGCTTTATATTTCACATGGAAAAAGTACACTTACACAACTTACCAGTTGCCTCACAATGATTTGCTGAACAAGCTATCAGAGTTTACAAAAAGGTTATAATCTGCTTTGATGTATTAAAAGTTTAAACAGAATTTATCACCACATCTTAATTATCTCATGGAAAAATCCTGACCTTTCCTTGTAATATGGACATTACTTTTGCAATGTCAGTCACGGGTTATGAGGAAGAAACTCCACCTCTCCAGCTTAAGAGGAGGGTTGTGGTACTCTGAGTGGGTGCACGTTATTAAAGTGTATCCTTTACTATAATTAAAAAAAACATTATTGCAGCTGTGTATTCCAATAATTTCTGCTTCCTAGCAAAATTCCTGTTGTTTAACAAGAGCATCTGACATCTGTCACAGAGAAATCTCTCAAGGTTTCCATATTTTTTTCTGCTGCAAATTATACAAGGTTATCTTTCTGATTTTCCAGATCAATGACCTCCCTATTCTATTAATAGATTTAGGAACCAAAATAATTTAGAGTTCTTTGAACTGTTGTGAATACCTCTGCCAAAATTTAAATTAGTGTTTTATCTACTAAAGTGAAACTGTAGTGTTGGAAAACTACAAATTTCAGTGATTACTATGAAAGAAGCTAATTGATTTCAGGTACCATAAACTTCTCTTGGAAAGAAGCTGATGCTATGAGTGCAATATAAGTAATTGGGTCACAGAAACATCTAAAAGCTACAGATCTATCTTGTATGTTCTGAATTAGGCCTCTAGAGCAAGCCCAAAGTTCACATAACCGAGGCATGTTCTGGAAGAAAACACTTGGGCAAGGTTCCTTATGTTATGTGTCTCCAGAGAAAATGTGTCTGAAGAAATCTAATTTCCCTTATTCACTTAAGAAGATATTGGTAATGGCATTGCCTGTGCTGCATCCCTAAGATCCCTTAAGTGCAGTACCTGTATCATTTGTGGTATATCAGTTTGATGTTGATTTCACAGAACTTGTAAAAAAAATTCAAAGAACTTTTAATTATCTATTCCATGTAAGTTTTGTTTCTTGTTGTATGGGCTCTGAAATTTAGAAGTTAAGGCTAGACAAGAGGATGCTGTAGTCTGGCCTTAAAAAGCAGTGCTTGATGTTAAAGTTTAGCGCAGAAGGCATTGGATGGGTATGAGGAGCCATGGGTAGATGAGGAACATATCCCTTGTTTTGTTGGTTTTTTTTCCTGTTACATTTTATTCAGCATAAAAGAGATTGTGCTTATTTATCACCTACAAAACAGAAAAAGTGTCACAAATTTTCAGTAAAAATACATAAGCAAATGAATTAGAATATCTGCCTGCCACTAAGTACTGCAGACTTTTCTGATAGAGAGGAGAAAGTTGCCCAGAGAACTGGATAGAATTGGACTCATTTCTAGTAAACTTGTTTTCCCTGACTGGAACACTATCTTTCCCTTACTGGGCAAAATATTTGCTCCATTGACTTTTAAACTCAGAACATATAAAGACAACTTTTATGTTGCACTTTCCAAAATATTCAGGGCTAGAGAAATAGTACTGGATCCTTTCAGAATATTGAGGTAGTGAATTAACATTTCAGGGTCTTCAGTACCAGATCATGTAACAAATTTCTAAAATGGATTAGATAAATAAGGGAGCTCATATCACAGAAGATGAATGCCATGTGAAAAATATGTGCCCACTAAAATTCTTCTGGGTACTCATCCAGTTGTCTTGGGATCCATTTTCAGAAAGTCTGGGCTAATGCTTAGCTGAGTAAGTTTTGGTCTTGAAAATATATTAGAACAGCTTACAGATCTTATTACAGTTTGCTTCAAGAGACATCATTCCCAATTTTGGGGGTATATCAATACAGCCATGAAGAAATTATGTTGTATTTCAGACCAAATAACAGCTGGCCTATTGGCTAGTGACATTAGAACCAGATGGATTCTATTATACAATATTAATTTATTGATTTATTAATTCATATGGGGCTTTGTCTGTAGCTAAAGATGAAGGGATTAGAGGGTCATGTCCTCAGGTAACCTGCTACTAGGCTCATTGGAATATAATCATGGAATAATTTAGGTTGGAAAAGTCCTTTAAGGTCATGGAGTCCAACTGCTAACTCAACACTGCCAAGTCCATCATTAAACCATGTCCCTAAGTGCCACATCTACATTTCTTTAAATTGCCTCCAGGGATAGTGACTCTACCACTTCCCTGGGCAGCCTGTTCCAATGCTTGACAACTATTTCTACGAAGAAATTTTTCCTGATATCCAATCTAAACCTCCCCTGGCACAAATTGAAGCATGTCCTATTGCTTGTTACTTGGGAGAAGAGTTCAATCCCTACGTGGCTATAACCTCCTCTCAAGTAGCTCTAGAGAGCAATAAGGTCTCCCCCGAGCCTCCGTTTCTCCAGGCTAAACAACTCCAGCTCCCACAGCTTCTCCTCAGAAGACTTGTGCTCCAGACCCTTCACCAGCCATTCTCTGGAGAAGCTCCAGCACCTCAACGTCTTGTAGTGAGAGGTCCAGAACTGCATGCAGCACTCGAGGTGTGGGCTCATCAGGACTGAGTACAGAGGGACAATCACTACACAATTTCTGATGGAGGCCAGAATGCCATTGGCCTTGGCCACCAGGCCACATGCTGGCTCATGTTCAGCTGGCTGTCAACCAGCACCTCCAGGTCCTTTTTCCCTTGGGCACTCTGTTCAGGGCAGAGTCTTGGGCACTCTTTCCAGGCACTCTGCTCCCAGCCTGTAGTGCTGCCTGGGGTTGTTGTGACCCAACTGTAGGACCCAGCACTTGGCCTTGTTGAACCTCATATCATTAGTCTCAGACTGTGGATCCAGCCTGTCCAGATCCCTCTGCAGAGCCTTCCTACCCTCCAGCAGATCAGGCAATACTCCTGCCCAACTTGGTGTAATCTGCAAACCAACTGAGGGTGCCCTTGATCCTCTAGTCCAGACCATCGATAAAGACATTAAACAGGACTGGCTGCATATTGAGCTCAGTGGGAACAGTTCTAGTGACCAGCCACCAGCTGAATGTAATTCCATTTAACCACCATTCTTTGGGCCTAGCCATCCAGCCATCTTTTTAACCAGCTAAGAGTATACAATACTAGTTCTACATCCAACACAGAAGGAAACAGCAAAAACAGTAGAGCTTCTGAAAGTTCAACAAGCAAAATGAACTATCCAGACAACATGGTTGTTTTATTGGTATAATTGAATCTCTGCAAATGAACTTTGTCAACACTACTTCTTCACTGAACATTCCAGGCTGAGGTAAAATCTCTTGGAAACCTCAAGAGGACATACAAGGCAATAAATATGTTTCCTCAGCCATTTTAGTCAAGCTAGGTCCAACAAAAATAGAGATTATTTACTTCATGAAAACTACTGTACTAAAAAGAAAAATGGAGTAGTCTAGACCCTTGGAAATAGACAAATACTTTAGCAAATGACACTCTCCTTACCTAACGTTTTGATAGGGTCAGAATAGTCAGAATCTGTAAACTGTCCTTTAATGTTAGTTGCTCTGAACTTAAATCTGTGAAATAAAAGCAAGAAAACTAATGAAATAAAAGTTTATGTGCATTTTCTTAAATATTGTTTCACTTAGAAACTAAAAACCATTTTTAGCTTTAGCATAATATAAGTTGGAATCATTATTCACCTGCAAAAGGGACATTATGACAGACATTAAGGACTCTGTCAATATCCTGAATGTATTAAAAAAACCTGTGTAAATTACTTGTCTTGAATTTGGCTTTATTTAATTTAAGAACTCAGTAAGCACCTTTTGTTGCTTGAAAAATTTTGTAAAAAATTTGTCTCCCATATTTATGCTCAGCCAAAAAAATTTAAAATTAGAAACACATGATGATTATTTCAATCTCCACCTTTTCTAATTACACTATACGTTTTATGTGTTTGCATAAATCTATATTTCACTTAAATCCTTCTCTTGGACAAACTGAGACAAATGTACTTACAGGTACTGCTTTCTTGGTTTCAGTGGACCATTACATATTTTATCTTGACTGCCTGGTATCATACATGTAGTATCAGCACCTATGACATATATCTCTTCTTTCCCACTCAGAACTTCTTTTCCTTCTACACATGGTGGGTTTGGAAAGCCTTCATTTGTAAAATATGGCCTTGGTCTGTTGAAGTAGGCATCGTACCACTTAGTAACATTCCCATCATGCTGAGCTATTGTCAAGAAAAGAAATAATAGATACAATTTACATTCTAAGCAGGCTGTAATTGAAGAAGTTAAATAGGAAAATATTTTTTTTAAGAGCTTAGCATGCTATTGGTGCTATTTACACAACTAAGTCTATAGCTGCATTTGCACTTTTACTATCCACTCTGCATGTTTTGTTATCTCTGAGTAAGTCAACTGAATCACAGTTAGAAAATTTGAGGGGCGATTTTGCACAGGAGCTCTGCCTGTAGAGAATATTACTTGTGCAAGCCACTTGACCTTGAAACTGAGCATGGCTAGCTAGCAAAGAGAGTAAAAAGTGTTTACTCAAGACAGTAAAGATTGTTTCATAAATTAAACCAGTAGATTTGCATAAGTGGATGGTACCTAGCAGTTTATGAGAAAAATCTTCAAAATATTGCTTAGCATGGTGTTTGCATATCTGTCAATTCAAAAAAATCTTCACAGCAATAGTTATGAAGTAAATTTCTTTAGGATTAGTGCTAAAATGCAAAATTCAGAAAAAGGTGACCCGCATAATATGAGTTCACTTAATGTGAATGCTTTACTTCTATACTTTGAAACCAAGGAAAATAAGGGAATTTAATTCCTGGAATTTGTCCTTCTTAGGTAAGTAAGCCTGATCATATGATGTCCTATCATAAAACTCCCACTCATATTGGTAAGCAATTACTCAAGAGTTTCACAGCAGTGTTCATATGAGTAAATGTTCATCAGTCCGTACAAGGGAATAAACATTCTTACCCACAGTCTACAGAAGGAATTTATATAACTCCCTCTACCCTCATTATGAAATGGAAGTATCAACTGCATGTGACTGCATTCTTTTACAGGCAACACTAATAATGACAGAAGAATAACCTTGCCAAAAAAAGAAAGGTTTCAGATTTTTTAACTTTCACAAATGTCAAATGTTGGGTCTTTCTATTTCAAGGAAATAGAAAATAAAGAAATATAATGACAAAAGTAGGGACTGAATAATATTGATGGCTTCAAACAGCATGGATGACATTATTGGCAAGCCTTCTCAAAATCCAGCACCCAGGCCATAAGTATTGTGAAAGATACTTTCCTCTTAGTGCTATTGTCACAGCTAAAGTGACTTTGTTAGCTGCTTTCTAAAGTGAAACTACTGAAACCCAAGATAAGAAATAAAAAAGACAAACAGCCTGAACTTTAAAAAGTTTTCAAGAGAACGTATAAAATTCTACCTCCAGCTTCCACAACAAGAATTTGTATCTTCTTGATAGGGCCATGATCATCACTGTAATAACATATTGGCATTTTGATTGCAATTGTTGTAGCTGTGACGAGTAATGCCCCATTGGTATCATAAACTGGTGCTGGTTTCTTTTTAGGTCTTGGTGGTTCTGTTTTTAAATAAAGATATACCACAGAGTTCTGTTTTACAATATTTTCACTACAGATACATTGTTCAGGCACATAGCAGTGTTATGCATGAGAAATCTCCAGCATGTTTTCAGGGATGACTTAATGTTTTACTTAATGTCTTAAGACTCTAAAAACTATATTCTGATAAATGTCTATGTGCATCAGTTTTCAATTAAAAGAGAAAACAAAAAGACCGCATATTAGTTTTTCAGTTCATTTCACTTTTGTTTATTTCGACAACTGTTACACTGCATACTTAGCTTTACCTCTGTCCCATTCTAAGCTGTTCCCCGATGATAATTAAAATATTGAACTCAATATGATTACTTCATTGAGTCTGCACATGCTTTACAGTATTGTTCAGATACAAATAGAAAATGATGATTAATATGCAGCAAAATTGAACACTACAATTCAAGGCTATCAGTTACAGATTCCTGTTCCTACATTATGTGGCCTCTAAATAATAGCCAAAGGCGCACAGCTGTGTACTCAGCAATTTCTTCAGCATTTATAAAGATTTCAGATAAAGGGTATTTTATGAGACATACCTTTGATATCCATGGTTATTTTCAATTGAATTTTCGGCCCCGCGCCAGCACCATTAATTGCATATACCTTTAAAAAAGCAAACACTTGCTTAATAAGTATTTGTAAGAGCTTCGTATTGGCCAGTTCTGGATATACTTGAAGTAACAATGAATGCCAAAATACTCCTTTTGTCATTCACACTTTGCTAGAACTTACTTTATATTGCTTTACAATCCTAAGCACAGTAACACTTCATCACTTGTAATGTAGCTCTTACAAAAAGGAGAAAACAAGCCCACTTGAAGAGTTTTAGTTCCTCCTCTTATGTCCCAGTTTCTGACTATTTGAAAGTACTTCATTCACATACTCCTAGCAAGCTCCCCTTGTAGAATCAGACCTTTCAGGGGAGCCAAGTGAGCAATGCAAATAGCAGATTAAGAGAGAGATTTAGTCCTGTGCTTGTGACGATGTGTCAGACTGCTTTGCTACTGCATAGGAACTGGTCATCTGGACTAGGGATGCATCCTGCTCCCACTCACTCTACCCTGTTCATTGCTCCCCTCATTCCTCAGACTTGCCTCTCTTTGCACCCCAGCTAACATTCTTGGCATGGAAATCTCATAGTCAGCCAAAGTTTGTGTTCCCCATTCAAACTAGTCTCATGCATATCAAAGAAAAAAATCCAAAGCAAAACTATCAATTCTTACGCTGACGTTATAGGTATGTCCTCCTTTTAGTCCTTCTATCATGGCAGTGACTGACTGATCTTTTTTTTCAATTACACTAAGGTTGTGGATCTGGATGGCATCGGGATCATCTTCATTGTAAACCATAGCTTGATACACTTGAATATTTCCATTTGGTTCAGATGGTGGCACAAATGTTACTTGGAACTTTGTTACTTCATCTGGTATCTTCTGAAAAGTTATGTTGTTAGGTGGGTCTTCAGGCACTGAAATAAATATCTCAATGATCCACTTAATCAGTTTACAACTATTACTATTAGAGTAAAATCAGAAAAATTACAAATCATATTTTTTGCACATCGGTATTATTCCATTGATATTTTCTGGGTTTTATTAAAAAATTTCAAAAATTTCTTCTGATTATCTACTCAGAAAGCCTGAAGGCATCATTATACCTTGAAATACATCTGAGGTAAACAAACCCTTGCATGGGTTGACAAGTAAGAAGCAAGTGTCAGTGAGTATCACTTTCTGAAAGCCCTCTGTCAACAGCAAGCTCCCTCCCAACGTATAAACAAGCCACTGTACCAAACAGTCTCTGATTATCACAGCTAAGTCTTTAGGAAAAAATTTTCCATTAGCTGATGCCCAGACACAAGCACAACATGCATTTTTCCCAGAGGTAGTTTCTTGTCAAATTCTTATTCCAGTAGCTTATTCTCAAGACAGCAAAGGTATAAATCATTTTCCCAATGTCCCTATCTGAAAGAAAAGGCTGTAACATTCTTTTCAGGCAGCTAAATATTTATTGCTCTACCTGAGCAGACAAGTATGTAGCATACTAAATAGTGAAATCAACACATTCAGCCAAGGATTTAGATGCAGTTGTCATACTTTCCTTTTTTTTTTTTTTTATACCAACCAACAAATGCTTACTCAGGCTTCACTGGAGCAAGTCTTTGTAAACTGGTCCTAACTCAGCTATACGCTAGGCTGTACAAACCAGATGAGACAGGATGAGATGGAAAAAAGAAAGTTCCTCTCTAAGGTTACTGCACCTCCTAATGTATCACACATTTAAATAAGAGAAAGGACTACCAAAACAGGTATCACAGGATACTGTCTGTCTCAGGATAGACCCAGCTAGCACCTAATTTAATCTTCTTTAATTTTTCCACAGTAAAAGACCATATCACCTTCCAGGGATATAAACAGGTTATGAAATCCTTAGAATTTAACTTATTAAAGGCACTGGAGAGATATACATATACACACTCATATCATATCATATTATTAGGAACCTTGGATTTTCATACATCAAAGGAAAGATAAATGATAAATACAATCACTGTGTACTATGTTTAAATTTGAAATTAACCTGAGTATGTAGCTAAAAAAGTTGACCTTCAGCTGACCTCAGTAGAGACACAGTTGATAAATACTTCAAATGAAACAAAACTTTAATACCTTTTGAGAAAATATTTTTATTCAAAACCAGCAAAGATAGTAGAGCATAACCATGACCTATGTATGTAAAGTTAGGACTGCATCTTCCCCATGTACATCTATTTATATTTTTCTAAGGGAATGACAATGCTGTCTACTTTTCTGTAACACAGTGTCATGAGGTCCTCATACAGTTCCTTACTCTCTTCTCTCAGTTTTATTTCTCTGAGTAACTGAATAACGTCAGAAACTTTTGTCACCTTAATATGTAGCTCATTCTCCAGATTGTTTTGAGTCTGTGGAACAGCTGTCTCAAGTATAGATCCCTGTGAGCCTTCACTGCAAGTTCCTTGCACTGAAGGAAGGAAGAATACACATACTGTGTCCTCAAGTCAATACAGGTACAATTTATAAATGGTAGGATTCACTTTCATTTAGTTTTTATGTCTTTTGATTTTGCACCAAAACCAAGCATGTTGTATAGAGTTTTCAGCAGTCTCTTAAGAGAAACAGGCACTTCCACAAGGCAATCATCCCCGCCTAAGAGGTATCTTATATATACATGCTAATATACATAGGACCTCCTTCTTCATTGACTATAGAAATAATCCAGTAATCTAGTAATCCACACATCCAAATTTTACATGAAGTTAGGATCCCTGCAGAAGTAAAGGTAAATCTTAGTATTCGTAACCATCCCTTTTTTGTTGACTGAAATATTTTTAAATATTAAAGAAAAAATATTGTGAGGATAAATCTGTATTAAAAGCACACCTCGTGTTCAAAATTCTCATTTATTTGTCAAATGAAAGAAAAACTGCAAAGTTTGTTCCATACAAAGTAGAAAAAAATACAAACCTGCTTCAAAAGTGGAGACAATCACTGGAGAACTAGCCTTGCCTTCTAGGAGAGCAGCATTAACATCCCCCGTAAAGGCAATGATTACTACAGAATACCTTGTAAATGCTTTTAAATCAGAAATTTCTAAGACTTTAACCTCATCCTTTGTCTTCAAAAACTGAGCTTTATAGTTGCCATTATCTACCTGTAAAAAAAGAATAGAATAAAAAAAAAACTGTTACAAGGCTTGAAACACCCAAACCCAAGAAATTACTATCTGAACATCTTATTTAACTTCAGTTCTTCCCCTTTTCTAACTAGTTATGTAGAAGGATTCACAAGAATTCTCCAGCTACCAAGACTAGAGAGCTGTGCTGGGGAATACACTCCCATCTCACCCATGTGTTGCCTCTTTGTCACTTCGTGTAGTATGGGATTAAGGAAAGGGGCTGTTTGCTCGGCGCCATCTTACACCAAGCAAGTATGAACTGATTTGTACGCACTGGGCCAGGGGAACTGTAGGGATCTGAAATGGGAATCAAACTAGGCAAAGATCCAGAAGATAAGCAGCCATATAGCAGAAAATTATTTGGAATACAAAAACAACTAGAAAATTGGGCAGCATTTTATAACGTGTATACAACTGCAGAAAGTGCAATTCCTCTTGGGATATATTAATAGAAGCCCTTTTTATGAGACAGTGGGGAAGGAGTAATTCTCTCACTAGAAAAGCTGGAAAGCAGAAATATGTCAGGTTCAATCCAGAAAAGGGGGATGGTAGGAGACTTTGAAATATATAAAAAATCATGTTAATAAATTGAAGATAATCCATTGTTTACAGTGTTCATGAAAATAGAAATTTTACTTGCACAAAAAAAAATTAGAATTAAAAATTACACGGACTGCAATGATATACCTAACTAAGTAACTAAAACTATGACTATAAGTTTAGCTAGAAACCATAACAATCTATTGAGGGTTGCTGAGCAATTTTCAGCACCAGACATTAGAGGGAAAGGGTAATGAATAATTTGTGAGGAATACTTTAGGTATATTTGTTTCTGTATTAGAGCAGACTATGGGTTGGATTACATTTTGGGCTACCTATCCTCCTTACACGTCAAATAATCTGTAGTTCTGTTGACAAATCTCCATTGTTAGACTTTATATCCAATTAATCACTTCTAATGGTAGCCTCAAAAAAGGAGAAAAAGGAAAAAACGGAATCTTTTCTAGTGTTTGATCAAGTATCATTTACAAAGTTTTATTTATGTCTATTCCCACTACTTCAGTTAATAATGTTTTTATTATTGTTTCTTCGGTGTGTAATTTGAAAAGAGAATTAGGTAGCTGTACAGTAGTTTTCCCACTGAACAAATTCAGTATTAAATGCACCTGATAAAACATTAGAACAGCTCAAGCATACCTTTTATTTGACAGATAGCCCTATATCCCCACTGAGAATTAACCTGAACTAAACTATCTGATGGATTAAACAGACATTCATTTCCTGGGATAGCCATCAAGAGCTGAAACACTTTCTTCTATTTGACTATCAAAAAACCCTGTCATATAATTATTTATACAATAGCTAAAATACAATCAGCACTACATTATTAAATTTATTTCTATTCTTCATGAAGTTTAACAGTTCAGTTCCATTTTCCTTACCCATTTCCAGGAATATTTTATTCAGGACTATTCTAATTATAGTAGACAGCAAGACAAAGTAAAACATGACTCTGAGGAACAATAATGAAGGAGTATTTTTTAGCTTTTCTGATGTACAAAACTGCAAGGAACATCCTAGTAATTTAAGCAGAACCCTAATACATTGAGTTATGAAAACTAATTACTAACTTTTAGTACATAGCAGAGTAGAAACCTGAATTATTCTGTTTGGTGATCCTATTTTTATAAATCCTTAAAGATACTCAGTTAAAAATAAAAATTAGTAACGTTTGTGGAATTTGGAGTCTTCATAAAAATTTCCCACTGGGACTATAAAATATATACTAAAATTTTCACTGAAAAAGATTGCGACAGCTTTATTGGCCTTTACGAAGTAATAGATTTGTCTGTCTACCAAATTTCTACAGAACTGACACCTGTAGTTACTGTTCATTAGACAGGCAACATCTGATTACAAGGAATCCATAGACACAGAGTTGATTACCTGAAATATATTGGGGAAAAAGCCCAAACAAACTCACTTTGTAAAACAAAAAACAAAGTCTTCCGAACTGAGAATTTAAAACAGTTTTTTAAGTTCCTTCCAAATGCTGGCAGGTTCACATGGAATAGCTCACATTCCACAGTTCATCTTGCTTTAGGAATTTTACTATAACTTATATTGAAAAGGTATTATAATATTTTCAGTGTGTAGAATCAGATTATACTCTGTTTATTATTTAGGAATTATCAGAAAGAGAAGAAATTATTTAAATACAAGTGGATTAAAAATTAAATACAAAAAAAATCAAGATTTGAGAATTGAATTTGGAAGTTTATAAAAACTATGATCTGTTTTTCTGTTAATGCACTACAGTGCTGTTTAGTCAAAAGTGACAGGAACTTTTCACAAGGAAGAAGTCTTCTCTAACTTTATTAAAAGAGAAATAAAACTTGTTATTTAGTTTCTAGTGACCTACACACTGGGCCAAGGAATCATTCTTTCCCTGTAAGTACTCCCCTTGCTGTCGTACATCCTTTATCCTGCCATTCTGCTGCTGTAGGAAGCATCTTCAGAACTGAACAAATTTCTCTCTACATCTTGTACAATGAAGTTAGAGAAAGAGAAAATTGTAGGCTTACACATTTTTTTAGTCTCTCTTGTAACTTTTCTGAGTAGCTTAAAAATGATTTGTATTTTTTTACTGATCTCCTTAGAAATTTTGGCATGTCTGTAATTCTTTTGACAGACTCAGAAACATTGAAAATACACATGTAGTCTTACTCTCAGAAAATTAAAAGAACTTTCTACTTAAAGGCCTTAAATATTTTGAAGTAATCTTTAATTTTTATAATTATTTTTGCTACTATCTAACAGACTGCTTTAGAAGTTTTAAAACTGCAAACAACTTTTCCTGGATAATGTCTGGTACACTACTTCCTATTTTCGCTGATAGCCCTGTCTGTATAATTTTTGGCAGAACAAGGAACCTATATCCTACTTCTCATGTGCTTGAACTTGGAAAGTTGCATATCTTGCCACAGGGCAGGAAATTAGGTTTATTAATGGTGGTTTTAAAGAGTTTTGTAAGAGTAGTAGAGGATGAAAAGAGAAAGGCCACTAGATCTTTTCTCTTATGTCAGCTTTTTTTTGTTATAAAGATCAAGGAGAAAGAAGTGTTATTGCTGTGCTACCAAAATACAGTTAATCTGATGGACAGAGCACCAAGTGCAAAGTGGGAAATCTAGTTTGACTTTAAAGTTTGCCCTCTGGTGCCATGTAACTTTGTACAGGTCGTTTCCTTTTGCTAGGCTCTCCACTTTGGTTTGTAAAATCACTATGATGAACCTTTTCTTCCTTTGAAGAAGAAAGAAGTCATTATGGTTAGAAAAAGGTACACTTCCACAAAGCTCAGCTACTGTTTTCCTGTGTACATTTATAACTATATTTTTTTTCTCCAAGAGCTCTTACTAGCACATATTTTTTAATATGAAATAATTAATTTATCTCCCATTAAGAAATTAATAAATCTACAATTAATTCTTATGTGGAATTTATGTGGAAATAGACACAGTGAATTTTTTTTTTTGATCCAGTTATTTCTGTCCTGTAATTTCTGTAAGGAAACTTGCTGTGGTATTTACATGATCAAATATCTATATAACTACTAACAGTAAAACTGAGTTGCCTTACTGAGGTAACGTCTATGAGGTAGCATGTTGGTCCTGTGATGATGGCAGGTTCACTCCAGCTGATATTAATACTGTGAGGAGATGTAGCTAAAACAGTCACATTTTCTGGAGGACCATCTGGAGCTGTAGAAAAAACTATGCATGTAAATCATGGCCAAAGAAGTACACAAAAAATAACCCAGTAATTTTAGTGGCCAGTAGAGATTTGAAAATAACATTTTTTCACACATTTACCTTAATAAACTGTTTAAATAATTATAACTTTTTTTTTTTCCTTTTTCATCTGTAAAGCATACCATGTGATTTAGAAACACATCTTTCATTGTAACCACTATGACTTTTCTGGAGTATGAACTGCCTACAACTGCATCTTAAATTGAAATTATAAGATTATTGAATTACAAGTTCTTTGTATTAATTTTACATGACACAAGCAAAATATATATAACTATTTAGACAAATTATATTTGTTTATGTCAAATGAATCATTCAAAGAAAAAGAAATTGTGAAAATACCTGATTTTCTGCATGCTAGAAAAAATTTCCTGCAATGTTGGAGAGTACAAGTAGAAATAACTTTCTACATTTCCTTTCAATTTATTCTTAACATATTTAGAAATTCCAGAAAACACACACAAAAAAAGTGGTAGGAATAAAAAGAGAATGTTCACATTAAGAAATGGGATTTCCCTAAAATTTCCTTTTGTCAAGGTGATATGTGAATTAACTAGTTATTTCTTATTCATGGATAAGAAATTAATGAAACTATAATAACAACACAGTAGTTCTCAGTAAGTGGTATTAATTTTTCATAATGACCATTTTAAATTTCAGGAAAACAGAACTTGGAATAGAAGTGACAACAGATTTGTAGGTAACTTCAGAACTTGGCTCCATGGTGCCTTTTTTGGGGGGTTACTATAAAAAAAAAGACAAGTGTGGTATCACTGAACAGCCTGTTACAGAAGAAACAGATTTGGACATATTTCTAGAACTTGAGTTCACGGTGTCTTTTTTATAATCTACCAAAAAATATACGTATCAGTTAACAGTATGTTATAAAAATATTATTAAAGTGATCATACCTATTCTAACTAGAAGGTGCAGTCTCTTTTCTAAAACAAAATTAATGCAGGAATATGTGGCTTGGTACCATTAATCATTATGTAAGAGGGCTTAATGAGGAAAAAATTGGAGGATATACAAGGTTACTTAGTTTTTTAGGAGGAAAACAGGGTAGGAAAAGGAAAAAGAACATGGAATGAAGTATGTAGCTATTGAAATTATGTATGAAAGATTAATGAGGAAAATAATATAACTTTACATTACAAATTTGGCACCATGGCTGCAGAATAAAACAGGAAGATTTGGGAGTAAACAAGGTGCTATGATGAGTTTAGGGTGTTAGATATGGGAGTTAGATTGCTGTGCTGGGATTAACAGCAATATTCAAAACTTTATAGGCAGGATCAAATTCAACCATTGGAAGCAGTCCCCAAAAATATTGAATAGCACAGAACAACTGAATGAAGAGCGTAACTGAACAAACTGTGAGAGCACATGAGGGGTGGTGAAAGGGGAGAGTGCTCAGTGAAGGCTGGCTGTCAAGTGGGAGCTACAACAGATAAAACAAAAATACAAGGGCAAACTTGTTCCCTGAAAATTAGAACAAGCACAAATAAAGTTTATTTTCAGGTAATGCATGACAGACTTGTTGCTCAAACAGTGTCTTTCAGAGTAAACAATGCTTTCAGTAACTATGGCAGTGGTATTTATTAGCTTTATTGCAAAATGAAATGTCTGGAAAAGAGTATAAAATTATATTTATAGCTTATTGAGCCTTAGTTTTCAAACCAAGCAAGTTTCCAAAGACAATTTTCCATTACTTTTTACAGAACTAATGGAGCATTTAATATCAGAATTTTTTTCAGGCGTCACTTTACATTTATGCATTAGACAACAATGGTGTGAAATAATTTTAAGGCATAATCTAATCTACAAATTACCCAACCACATGGGTAATTTCCATATGTAGTTTACACTTGATGCACTTTTTAGATCTTTGTAATAAAATTTAGATTGAATATGTTACATTTAAGATACTCATCTAAAATACATCTAAGGATTAATACCTGGTTAATTTTCACAATGAAAAGTAAAATATCAGACATTAACCAAATCATACTAAAATGTAGGAATATTTTCTAAAATAACATGCATAATTAGAAAGAAAACTACAAAATGAAAGGTGTCTAACATGTCTCACGTCTTACAAAAAACCATCTTTTTAAAATTGTGTTTGATTTCAGTGGATAACTGCCATATTCTGATATGGGTTTGCTTGTGAAATTAATCTAGTCAATATGAGGCCATATCACTACACTCTTTCTCTTATAAATCACAGCAATTTACTCAGTAGAAATGACCTAGTCTTATTCTCTCATTCCCCCATAATCCAATCACTTCCTCTCATAAGCACTTTTCTCCTGGTTTTCACAATAATGCATTTTCTGTAACTAATAACCATCATTTCCTGATTATCATGCTTCTATCCTTGCACAGGAATGTGGGTCTTATGGAGGTCAGGGTCATCTTTCCCATCCATCTGTGTCCTGGTGCTAAGGCAGCAGTTAAGCGCGTTAGTTTGAAGATAAGTCTGGATAGCCCATCATCTAGCATAATCCTCAAAAATAAGACTGAATACTCCAGTTTTCTAACAGAAATTCATGGTTGCCAGTTTAGTTAAGATCAGCTCTTTTACCAACAAAAATTAAGTATGTGTTTCAGTTATCTAATTTTATAATCATCCAGGTTACTTTTACCTATATTTAAACAGCTATATTAGGCCATATTTACTTTCCAATGTTTAGTTCTGAGGAAATGAAAGGAACAAATTAAAACAAGTTCTCTCAAGCAAAACTTTCCAGAAGAAAGGGCATATAACAAGACATGAAATCTCATTACTTTTCATCACACATACTTTTCATCTTTAATAGTACCAAGCAACTGGGCATCAGCAGGGATTGGGAAAGAAGGTGCTGAAAAGAGAAGCATAACCCTCTGCCCCATGCATCTATGTCCTAGCATTCGTGGGATATTCGAACATCTGGGGTTTTCCTTTGTACCTCAGTATATCCTGGCATTAGGAGACTTGGCAGTTTACCAAAAAGCATTGCATTGTGTAACTGTACAAGATCCAAAATGAGGTCAGTGATCTCACTGTCATTCATCTTCCATCTAACACTGACCCTCCAGAATTATTTTTCTCTTAGAAAACAGAAGTTTGGCCTATCTTATTCTCCTTATAAATGCAAAAGTGAAGGTCAGGGTAAGTGCAGGTGTGAGCAAATAAAGTTTCCTTAGCTATGTAAAACATTTCTTGTCCTTTCCTTTACTGTGAGTCAACACTGTGTTATTATGTGCTGGTAACTATATAAATCTAAGTTATAATGAAAATATTTAATCTTGCAGACTAGATTTGGCTCCTGAGTAATCAATCAGGTAAGTAATAACAGTGCCATCAAACTATTTTATGAGACAATAGGACAATCCCTGTGAGGATAATCTGTAAGACAGAAGGCTGAATAGGTTATCTGTGTGATGTGAGAACCAGACTGTACTGAACAACTTATAACATTTTCCATGGAGTAACTCTATAACCACTCTCAGTACAGAACACTGCCATTTTTTTTGCTTGAAACTTGCAAATGGGTTAAAGAATCTTAAAAATAATTCCTGTAGCCTTACAGTTGCCTTCATAATGAAAAACTGAAACAAACAAGCAAAGATCCTCACCTTAGTCACCGGATATTCAGAATTATTATTCTGAATAGGTATTTATGCTCTAGCACAACAGTCAAATACTCAGCACTTGCAAAAAATACTCAGGATTTCTGTTATATAATTTTTGCTGCTGTTGAAGTTTCTTTTCTTTATATTCTGGGAAATTAGTTTAACAGTTTTCATATTAAATGCTGTAACTTCCTGAATATGAATATAATACCTATAATATTTTCTTTAGGTTTGAGAGAAACACAAATTTATGAGAACTCAATGAATTATGAAGAAAAACATTTGACAATTATTTCACAACCAAGGTAACTACCTTCAGGAGAACCAATGCTTTACAGAGGCATTTCTTGAAAATCAAGTAAAACAGTGGCTAACTTCTGCCCTCAAACCTGCAAACACAACTCCCATTGATTTTACAGGCTAAGTACTCAGGGTATTTTACATAGCAGCTAAGCACCCTTAAGCCCTAACAGACCATGTATATTGGCTGTGTATCAGCAGGCTAATCCAGAGGATGCTTGGCCCTCTCCATGAGGGAAAGGAGAGGGGGATCAACACCTGTTCGCTGGATACATTCTGCAAGGCTGCCCAGAGTACTGAGTCTGTTTGGTTCATTCTAAATTTTTCTTTCCTGCTACAGATTTTGCAAAAGAAAGAGGGGAACTAAGGTTTTCTTTAGTCTGTTTAACAGTATTTCTAAAGTCTAGTCTTTGCCATGTATGAAGTAGCTGGAGAACTGTCCTTGCTAAAGATCAGCCACTGCTCAGGGAGGCTCCCAGCACCACTGAAGCACAATGAAGTTTCCAGCTGGCTACCCAGCTGTGACATGTCAGCTTCCTCTTTTTTAACTCCTCAGCTGATTGCCATTATCCCAGGAAAAAGACCCGCACCCAGCCACAATATCTGAAATAGTGCCCATGCTTCCTTGACTCCACAGAGGTGTGTTTTATAGGCAGCTTATCTCCTGATGTGTCACCAGTTTAGCTCACAGGAAATTTGTTGCTGCCTACTTCCCTCATCACAGACACAGCCCCAAACACTTGGGCTGGAAGAACAGATGGAACTTTTTAACTTCTACCCCACCACTTTAAACTGTCTAATAGAGCACGCAGAGGAGCTACTGCTGAGAATGACACTGTATTGGCATGGAAAGGGCCTGTGCAGTCTAATGAGATTTTTATAATTTTAACTACCATCTTCTCAGTGGGACTGACAGGAAACTAGTTCTTTCTTAAAGCTCTTATCACTGTCTAGAGAGTAAATAATAAAGAGGATCCTAATTTTATGCATTTATATGTGTTTTAATTATTGCTTTTCTGTCCAGCTTTAATCCCCAACTTTTCTAAACTCAGTAACAATCTTTTGAAAACAAGTATTTGTGTATGTCAGCAACTAAATTCTATCAATTTAATAGTAAGGCATCTCCCTAGACCTTCTGGCTCAAGAGTTGCACAACTTCTGTTAGTTGTTTTCTGGTCCATCTGGGTTTATTTGGGTTTTTTTCTTCTCCCTCAATTAAAATATTGCATTAATTTACAGGCAGAGCATCCCCATAAGAGTCACTGGACAAAGGAAGTACATAGACATGAGAATGACTCTGCAGCTGATTCCAGTACTTCTCAATCCAAAGGACTGCTTCTGTGCTTTACATGAAAAACAGGCTGTTATGATGTTTACTATCATGGTGTCCAAATCTCTTTGCCCTTTGGGGCTTAGAATTTCTCTATTTCAATTTCTCATCTGCAAATGAAGGTGACAATATTTGCTTTCCTAGTAGAGAAATGTGAGGTATTTAAAGATAGATGGATGTACTATTGTTCAGTGAGTGCACAGATACTAAAAGGAGCATTACATAAAAGCATCCTGCATTCACATCAAATGATTTTAAAAACATGAGTGGAACAAAATAAATATGTGGACCCTTGAGTAATCCCTGGTACACAGCTGTTAAAGTCCTTGGTATCTCCATTATTATTACTTTGTGCGGGGAAATAAGTGAAGGAGCTGTGATTCAGTGAGAGGCTGGATCTCAGATATTCTCTGATCTAGGATGGCTGCAAACTGGTAGGGAAGGTCATTTGTCCCCATGACAACTGCCTAAATAATACATGTTTCACATCCCCTTGTCTCAAATATTTAATGATAACTTATCCGTGACAACTCTTCTCTTACTTGGAATCTTCAGTCCTCAGCTGAGGCATGAGAGTTCTAATATGTGTCATGGCAATCCTCTACAAGTTACATGGCTACTCTGATTTGTAAACTCCATAGGTGTATATGGTCTTGGAAAGAAATCTCTAATTCCTCTGAAACTATTGCTTAAATTCTATTGCCAGGAACATACATCAGAACTTCAGGAAAGTGTACAATGTTGATTAACAGACTTTCAGTCAAAGAATTAAAAAAGGAGTACTTTTCATTGACACGCCCCACATGTGAAGATGTATTGAAAATGGCATATCAACCCAAATTAGCCAAAATTTAGACTTACCAAGTCTAGATGTGGAGAATTGGTAAGGATTGAAATTGGTGTTAGGTAAGCAGTAAATAAAATAGAGTATACAAAAGGCATTAAAATATCGAGAAGTGTTAAGTATGCATACCTACCACATGATTTATATCATGATGTTTCATAGTTGAAGAGTTGGAATAAATCCTTATTAACTTCACCAATATTGTAGGTCTATGAAGAAATAACTTGCTACCAAGTGTTCTTGCTTATTTAGGTGAATATCACATTGTTACAGCATTATGAGACATGGGAGATATCCTTACTTACAGCCAGGAAGTGTTTGTGTTGAAATCCAAGGTGAAGAACTGCCATAACCAACACTCGTACTGGCAGCAACTGCAAATCTGTACCATCTGTATTTTTTCAGTCCATACACTGTGTCTTCTATCCAGTCGTCCATCACATTTTCATATAAATATTGATGCATCTCATATTCAACACATTCCTTAGTTTCCCAGTCACTGCAATGGATGGACTGTAGCTGTGTGGTAATCTTGTAGTTTTGAAAGTAGCCAAGGATAGATTTTGGTGTTCTCCAATTCAAAGTCACACTTGTTGATTGCACATTGGAAAAAACAATATCCCTGGGAGCACTAGGAACTGCAAATTAAAACAGTTGTAAGACATCTTAATTTGAATGAAAAGTGATTGCAACTATAATCCTTTTATCCAGTGTTAAAAAAAACCGTTTTTATAAGCGTGTCTAAAGACGAAGATTCAACTTCATATGGTTAACAAGAAGCAATTCCACTGGCATAAATCACACTGTACATATATAGATGTCATACATTTACAATAGTTTTTGAAATAAAAAATACTTTCAGGTGTGGCATGCAGGGGCAGCTTTGAGAGGTGTGACATTCCTGTTGCTACATTTGGGGCTATGTCTCAACTGAGGGAGGGAATATCAAACAAAGTTATTTTTGGCCTACCCATAGCATCTTTTAGTGCAGTTGCTAACTGGACTTCTTCACTTCTCACTTAGAAATATTCATTTGTCTCTCTCTCTTGGTAACATATGAAATCCTCATGTAATACCTCGAGATTACATAAATCTCCTGTTTCACCTTCTGAATGGAAAGTATCAATACACACAATATGTTTTCCTATAAGTGCTTTACAAGTTGTTCAGCAAATAACTAATTAAAAGAACACTGACAGAAAGAGCTGAATACATCACAATACGGAGCAAAAAAAGAAGAAATTTCCCATAAATGCTGCTTCCATACATCCTTTATTTATACACATAGGTATATATGAGTATACAGGTTATATTCATGTCCATGGAAACAGAAGTACTGCATGTTATGTACATACATACACATGTGTACACATTTACTCTATCTATATTGAGCCAACAGTGTACTCCCAGCTCTCATAGACTAGATGCAACATATGGTTTTGTGCTATATCACATAATCATACAGTAAGCTAATATTATCTCTAAGACTCTGTAAGATAATACCAATACTCTCTGTGGCAAAAACTGTGCTGGCCAATCAGCTCAGAAATCATTTTGTGCACTTAGCTTTAAAGAGTGCTTTAAGTCTTTGGGGGAAGAGGTATCACTGGTCAAAGAAAAACATGTGATACACCCTCAAACTGAAACTGAAGAAGTCCCAAGGCTTACATAAAGAAGAAAAGAATCCCAGACCAACATTACTGGGGAAGAAAGAGAAAACCTTCCTTTTTCTTTTTTTTCAGCCTTGTGAGAATATCTGATCTCTGCTTTTTTTCTGCAACAATTTGTTTGTTGAAATCATCAGAATATAACAAGCTGAAACTTCTTCTCTAAATCTGAAGATTTAACAAGAAATGTAAATTATGAGTTAAACCAAGCTGTGATGGTGAAAAGGTTGAGAAATTAAAATCCCTTGAAATGAGCCCAAAGCAGGTGGAGTCTGCAGGAGAGGGACCAGACAAAGAACCGTGGGCCCTTCCCCTGTCCTTCCACTCAGCTGTCACATATAAGTACACAACATCACAGCATGCAACAGCCCCATATGCTCCCAACCTGCTACACACTAGCCAGACACAGAACAAGAACAAACTGACTAAGAAAAAGTCTTCACCAAAGACAACTTCCATCATTATAGTCCATGCTATCAAAATTAAAGTTGTTTTGCTCTGCTGTTATTAGCATAAAGATAAGTACAGAAAGTCGTAAAAAACCCCAAAACATGCAGTATCATTTTTGCATGTGCACATATTTGGAGATGTAATACCCCGCTTATCCACTTTCAAAAAAAAACCAAACTGCAATATTTTCATAAAAACTCTTTAAGCTGTAATAGCTGTTTTTCTAAATTACAAGAAAGGGCTTAATTTGACCATTAATTAGTGGAAAATAAAGGTAGAGAAATCCTAAATTGCTACTAGAATACAGCTGTATCTTTCCTCTAAAATTCCTTACTCTATTGTAATATAAGCTATTAATATCTGCTAAGACACTGCAAAAAATATGAATCTTACACACTCAATTATGACAATGATAAAATGTGGGATAGAATGGATAAAACTATTTGAGTGAAAAAAAAATTATCACCCAGTCTCACTCTGAAGTTGAGTTAAAGTATTTTAAGGCCCAATATGATGCACTCCAGGAATTAAAAATCAAGTCAGAAATTCCAAAGATATCAGAACAGGTAAAAATAAAAAGAATTTAAGAAAGTTAAATTTTCTTTCTCACTCAGAGGGGATTACTACTCTTTTTTTGATAAGAAATATGACCTCACCTTCCCAGACACGACTCCAGGAACTCTTGCTGTGCTAGGAACAGCCACCACTGGTGAGTTTGGAATAAAAGTGTGAAAGTATGCAACATGGAGATGGAAACAATTGGCTTTAATGCCTCTCAGTCTCCCATTACTAACTTCTATCTGCTGAAAACTGATTAGTGGGCTACATTCCAATACTGAAACAGGGGCTTGTAATGAAGTAGATAGTAACTGGTTGCTTGCTGACTGTTAATAGGAAGTTCATATGGAAATATATACCTTCACTTGCTCAAACGTGCAGCTGGTAAAGCCATGGCTGGTACAACTGCAGTCTCTGCACCTAAAACAAGGCAGGTTAAAGAGGCTAGTCACAGGTGTAAAGTGAGCAGTGCCCATGTTCTAGACAGCATGGTGGCCTTTGCTTCTTAAAGACAGTACTTTGTTCCCCTAGTTTCTACACAGAAGACTTCAGAAAGAACTGAGAGTTAGCAATTTAGAGGGAAAAAATGCTTGGCTTTCATAGAACTAGAAATTATATCAGACTAAATGAGAGTGGGTCTGATTTGTGGGCTTTCCTGAAGACCAAGAGAAGTCTAATAAATCCAGCCTCCATGAGCTTTCCTTGTATTTGGAGAAGAGACAAACTCACCGAGAGTGAGGGAAAGAATGGAAGGCTGAGAAATTATTTCTCTTTCTATCTGTACTTTTTCCCACTGACTACAAAGGGAGCTCATACACATTACCTTCATAAGGCTGAAGGTGATGTCTGTGATTATCTGCAAGTAAAACTACATGAAAACTATCATTTTTAAAGATAAACTTGCAGTTATCATCATAACAGACAGATTAGACAACCATTTCTTCTTTCAGACAAAAGCTTTTGTAGCTATTTAATTTTGTCATTTTTCCAGTTTACTAAGATGCATACAAACAAAATATTTTGAGCCCACAAAATAAAGGGTCAGCCAGCAAAATTCACAGTAAAATTTTCTCTGCCAGTGCCTAGACAGACCTTTAAAATGAAACCAGAGCCTTAAACATTATTCCGTTTAAAATCAAGATCATTTTATCTCCTTGCTTACATGGACATATCAAATATAAATATAATCACTCATTAGGACAAATGAAAAGATGTGATCTGAATCTGGAGCACATCAAAGAAGTTTGAACCTAGGGCCACAGTGAAGAGGAGTGACACCCAGTGGCACAGTATCTCTTGCACTTGATGACTGTGTTCACAGACAATTTCAAGACAGCTATGCTATTGGGTTACAGATACAAAGAGGATTACAATTACTCTAGCATGAAGAATCAGATTTCCATTCCTCAAGAATGACTAAAATTCCCCCAACTTTTTCTGTCCACAGATGGTACTGATTTGAGCAAACCATTCCATGCTTCCTAGAGTAATCAAGCAGCTTGTTTAAATTTTCTAAACATGACTTAACTATGATGAAATGATCACTGTTCACAGTAAAAATTATCGAAGCCAAAAATTGTGTCTGTCAGCTACTATTTCAGATTACATTGGAACTGTAAGATACATAAAGACTTACGTATCTGCTCTTATACACTGCTGCTTAGACATGCTCCTAACAGGGAGATGCACTGAAAGATAAGGCATGAAAAAGGCTGTGCTTATGGTGTTGTAAGAAGCTAATTGTTGAGGACTGTGCCCTCATTAGCTAGCTGGCATTCTTGCTCTAATCCCATATTTAAATTTCTCAAGAATCCTACATAGGATTCCTTAAGTCTCATCACATATCTGACAGTCTTTCCCCATTGTATTTTGTTTCATTTGCTATGATTCCACTAGCTCTGGGAACAGGGAGTTTTTCTAAGTCTGAATCATTTGGAGCGATGTACTCTACCTAATTTTCCATTTAATAGCTTCTAATTCAGCTTCTGAAAAACAGTCAGGGAGCTGGCAGAGACACTAGCCATAAAATACTGGTGAATTCAGTTGCTGGACTGGAAGAGGAATGAGGTATTTTCAGGTTCATCTACCATTGTTCACATAATGGCTAAATTTCAATGAAAAGTGCCTGAAGCCAGATCTACACGGGATTTTAAGCTCCTAAAACTTATATACACGCCTGAACTCCTACTGAAGTCGACAGGAAGCTACACACCTCAATAGAAGTTACTTTCACAGATCTTGGCCTTGTTGCCTTATTCTTGTCTGGTTGCAATGCAAATCAGCCCTTCCAAAACTGGTAGACTGCTCTGAGATTAATTTTTTGAGAACCCAAATGAAAGGAAATTCCTGGTAGAAAAAGCACTGGTACTGTGCAAAGACTCAGATCAAGTTGAACTTGGCCAGTGGAACTGGTTTAAACTAACAAAAACGCTTGCTAGAAAAAATCTTATTCACAATGCAAAGATAACCTAAGGGCAGCAAAGGACACACACACACACAGATCTACTGAGAAAAGAGAGGTTATGGCTTTCTGTAAAGATTTCTGTGGAAAGCAATGACTACAGCTGCACAGGCTGAACAGAAGAGGGTAATATGATACGGCATAGCTCCTAACAAAGTTAATAAAAAAAAGTCTGCCTACAGAACAGCTGCTTGTAGCTGGAGTTTGGATTAAAAGAACAGAGGCAGCCTAGAAGTCTGTTGGGTGGTATTAAGAGCATGAATAGGAGGAAAGTGAAGAACAAAGTAGAACAGACAGCAGTGGGCACAGACCAGAAAAAGTCTTCAGAAAATGGAAATATCTGAAAAGAAAAGAAATATTCTATATTGATTATCTCTATTGGATTTTGAAAGCTTAGTTACCAAATAAGTTCCTTGGGTTAAGCTTTTAACCCTGATCGCACCAAGTACTAGGCTAGTATAGACTGCTATACTAGATTAGGGGGACTCATCACGATATAAAG